CACTGAACCACTAGGTCTGCAGATCCAACTCACTAGCCCCTACTTGGGAACCCTATACGAGGTCTCTATAAGTCAGAACTGACTTGACTGCACTTAAAAACAACAACAACAATGATCTTATTATGTCATTTAATATTTTTGTCTCAATTTGTTTCCTTTAGAATTGGTGTTTAACATAAAACTCAAAAGAATTTCATATTTGACATATTAAATAGTAAACAGACCATTAAATAATTCTCCATTGTTATTTACTTTCCTGTCACTTAACAGGAATCCAATGAAAATAACTTTTCCCCCCACTCACTATTATTAACCAGAAGTCCTGGTGTGGTGCTGTGGATTAATGTGCTGAATTGCAAAGTCAGTTTGAAGCACAAGGACGGCAAATCAAGCTCACCAGCCACTTCTCAGAAACCCTATAAAGGGTTGCTATGAGTCAGAAGAGATTCTTACTTGATTGCACTTAACAACAATAATTAAATAATACTGATTGACCCATTGGAAAATAAGTATTCTTGTTTTCAAATGGCTTTATACAAGGTGACATTCAAGGATAAAGACTACTCTTTACTCCTGAGTAATAGCTACTCTCATATTTTTACTAGACCAAGGGTTCAAAAATTTTTGGTGAAATATTCATTAGAGTAAGCTTTTATCCATTCTATTTTGAAAACAAATATAATGATTTATGATTTCCTGCTAAGAAATGTTAATTATAATCTTCAAATACATTTGAAATGTAAGTACATTTCTCCTTGCCATTTGGTAAAAATTGTCATATTGAAGGACAAAGACTCAATTATAACACACAAATAGTTTTCATTCATTATAGACAAGATAAAGAGATCTTTACATTGTTAATTTGATAAAAATTGGGCCTTGTTTTTGAAAGTTAATCCAAGTTCATTTTCAGGTTTATAGATTTATAAACTTAAATCATATCTCAGTAATACTGCCCCAAGTCTAGACCTAAGACGTGAGAAAAAATAAACTCCCTTAGAAACTCCATTACCTCAGATTATTCATTTCATTCTGCTATCAAAACCAAAATGTTTATTAAGTATTTTAGAGACTGGAACAACATGTTTTGGGAGGGAGAGAGATGCAAAGAGACAACAAATTACCAATAAGTCAAATGAGATAACTCAGTGCCTAGGAACATATCATGTTAATATTCTACTGATATGTAACATGTTGTTGTTGTGTTATGTGCCATGGAGTCGGTTCCGACCTGTACAAGGTTTCATAGCGACCCTGTACAGGGTTTCCAAGGCTGTAAATCTTTACGGGAGCAGAAACCATCGTCTTTCACCCACGGGACAGCTGGGAGTTTCGAAATGCTAACCTTACGGTTCACAGCCCGATTCATAACCACTATGCTACCACAGCTCCACAATATGCAATATAGAAGATGAGATATGTTGTGGATGAGGTTGTATCTAAGACTTTTCTGAGTTCTGCCAAACATTTTAGTGAATGATTCATTAGGCATGGTTGGCATAGGACAGCTGTGGGAGATTTATAAGTTACTACAGCTTCTCAAATTGGGACTCCTTAGTAATTTACCAGATACAGTTTTTTCCCTCATGGCATTTAATTTGAGTTCTAAAGGTCATTTGGGAGGGAGTGAAGAGAAGAGCTAAAAGAGAGACTGAGAGACTAAATCAAAACAAAACAAATAACTTAAAATTTTAAGGGGAGTTATGTTGTGGTTAAATATCATCCAGTGGGTTTTAACTCATAGTGACACCAAATAGGGTTTCCAATGAGCAGCTGCTGTGATGGAACCACTGATCTTATGGTCAGCAGTTCAGTGCTTATCCCACAACACCACACTAGGACTTCAAGAGGAGTTATGTTGTTGTTGCTGTTAGGTGCCAACAAGTAAGTCAATCTTGACTCATTGTGGCCCTGTATAAGTCTTCGGGGATCAACTGGTGGGTTTGAACCAACTTCTCCATCAGCAGTCCAATGCGTATCCTTCAGGAGTCCCAAAGAAGCTATATGGTGAACTAAATAAGAATTTTTAGGAGGGGACATTTATTTTAAAACACCAGTGTAAATCCTAATGATCTAGGATCGATTCTTTATTGGTTAGCAGTCTAAGTGGAGCCAGGGATTTGCTACTGGATTATGACTTCTTGCATTTCAACTACACAGGTATAAGACTCATAGAAGAAAACACTGGGTAATAGTCATTATATAAGTGGGGTCTTGTGTTAGCATGAGCATGCCAGCCAAACTTTTAGGGTTTCAGTTTCCTTATTTGTAAAAAAAAAAAAAAAGGTTCTAAATTCTCATTTATAGTGCTGGATTTTGCTTTGCTGCTCCTTACGCTAGAACTCCAACTTGATAAACAATCATATGTTAAACTTACTGAAAAATTGTTGCTGTTGTTGTTATGTGTCACGGAGTCGGTTCCGACTCATAGCGACCCTTTACAGGGTTTCCGAGGCTGTAATTCTTTACGGAAGCAGAAAGCCTCATCTTTTTCCTGTGGAAGAGCTGGTAGTTTCGAACTGCTGACCCTGTGGATAGCAGCCTGATTCGTAACCACCACACTACCCACAAGTGCTAAATTATCATCAGGTTCTGGTATTACACTGAATTTTTTTTTTTTTTTTTTTTGCCTTTACAGCTATGTCACCTAGGAAATATCACAGTTACTCAATATCAATTGACTCCTGATCTGTAAAATGGAGAGAATAATAGTACTAAACAGGCAAGATGCTCTCATAGAACTTACAATCTTCTATAGATCGTATTTTAGCTCAAAATGGCAGTAGTTACTGTCTGTTTTGTTCACTGATGTAGCCCAATCACCTTCACTCATGTGACAATATTTGCCAAATAAGCAATTAAATGAAACAATGCACGTAAAGTGATTAACATAGCAACTGGCTCACGGAATCAGATAAATGGTCCTCATTTTAATATCCACAATAATGTCTCATTAAGACAGCTGAAAGAAATAAGAATGCTTCAAAGAGAAGACTAAGACTGGGGAGCATATTATGGAAACTACAGGAAGACTTTTTTTTTTTTTTTTTAATTCAGAATATGAAAGCCTTTTCTAACAAAATTGTTCAAAAGTTAAATGAACTAGTGCTTAATAAAATATTGAATTTTAACTTCCTCATTCAGTGTTTGTAGTTAAGAATCTTATTTAAAGTTAGGAATTCAATGATTTGGAAAGAAATCTATAAAGCAATACAGAATAAATACATGATTTGTGTTGGCTTCTTGATGTTGCTGGCAAAAGAAAAATAATTTGAAAATGGTAAATACAGTAAATCCAATCTATTTTCCTTGGTATATGTCACTAAAGACACTTACATGTTAACTAATAAACAATATGGCTGAAGAAGATATACTTCTGATTTGTCTTATAATGTCGGCAACGATAAAAGTTAGGAGGTGCAGATTTTTTATTTCCTTATCAGAAAAAGAGAAGTATTTGAGGCTTGGATGATTTGCTCATTTTCTTCCTGTTCTGTGTAACCAAGTGGTAACACTGTACTTTGGAATTTAAGAACAGCAGCTGTGCTCATATTGCTTGGTTTTATGAATCTAGCCAATGCATCCCTGCTGCCAAGTAGAAACAATTTCAGAAAAAATGCATGATATCAATAAAGAAAGAATCTTACTCAATATCATTTTTATGAAGAATATTGTGTCAGAATAGCCCTATCAATCTATTGCCATCAGATCAAACTGAAAAGAATTAAGTACATAAAGTGGTGTCACAAAACGTAGCCAAGAAGAACCTAAATTTGGTAACAGAAGGTCAGTTAAGCATTTGGATAATAAAAAGTAAACTTTCTTTAATGAGCCATTAAAAGTTAATAATGGTTATATGCCTTGGAGTCAGCTCCGACTCATAATGATCCTACATAGGGTTTCTGAGGCTGTAAATCTTTACGGGAGCAGAAAGCCTCATCTTTCTCCCGCAAAACTGCTAGTAGTTTCGAACTGCTGACCATGAGATTAGCAGCCCGATTTGGAAACACTATGCTACCAGAGCTCCTTTCTGTCTAAAGTGATAATCAGATAGTAATAAGTAGACTGATTGTCACTTTAGACAGAAATATTAAGAATGACAGTTTTTCAAAACCTTCTATCTATTCTTCAAATTGGCTGCCTATTGAGAAAAAATATAAAATGCATGACATTTTTTGAAAGGCATGGAAAGGAAGAAGCTCACCAACCAATGATAAATCCCAATGTTACTATTTCAAAAAAGAATTGCATTCACACATTTAAAATTCTACTGCCCTTCTTGCTAATTCAGCAGCATCAGAAGAAATGAGATGAGTTGTTTCATTCAAGTGAAATATCCAGGTAATTAAAGTCAATCCCTGAAGAAGTGAATATTTTAGAAACTTGGGACATAACAATGTAGGTACCAGGCAAGGTATCAACACTTTGTATATATAAAAAATAATAATGTAATTTTTAACCAATGCTTAAAAAACTAGTACTGAAAGCAAATCTGTACTTCCAAGCTCTAAATTCTGTGATTCTATAGTATTGTGTTATTGTTAAGTGCTGTCGAGTCCGGGTTCCAACACACAGTGACTCTGTACAGGGTTTCCGAGGCTGTAAATCTTTACTGGAGCAGAAAGCCTCATCTTTCTCCCGTGGAACAGATGGTAGTTTCAAACTGCTAAGCGTGAGGTTAGCAGCCCAACTCATTTCTAGAGCAACTTCAGTAATTTGAGATGTATTTGCTTCCCAAGGGTTTTATTCAAGAATTTAAGAATTAATCTTATTTCTTTAAAGTTTAAAAAATTTTTGAGAAGGAGTTGATTGATACCTATTATCATTAATCAGCATGACACATCTACTTATTTTCCATGTTTTTTTCCAAGCACTGATACTTTATATTCTTTAAGCTCTACTTTCACTACATAGATTTAGATGCCCCAAATCTCTGGGCTTATGCATGAAAAGACATTCATCTATGTTGCCAGGAACAAGTAGATCTCTTTGTCACTTACCTGCCCAGGAGCAGAAACTCTCCTACAAGGCCCAGACGCCTCATAGCCATGAGCAGACCTCTCACTGTCATCCCCTCACAGAAGCAGGCCACCACCCGGGCCTTGGGCAAGTGGCTTCTTAGCTTCTTCAGCAGCTTATCAAAGCTCTGCTCCCCTGCGTTGCTGTAAATTTTGTAAGAGTGGGCGATGCAAATTCCTTCCTTGGCTGACATGTCTTTGAAAGCCTCCATCCCACTTTCTCCATAGTTGCCTGTGTGAACACAAAAATAAGTAGAGGGCCAGTGAAATGAGAGCGTTGGATTCTTTGGGTATAATTAGAATGCAAAAGGACTGGAAACATGCAGGTGACTTGGTAGTGTTGGGTTTAGAACCAGAAAACCTGAATTTGAAATTTTGCTCTTTTACTGGCATCTTCACTTTGGACAATTTACAATGAATCTACAGTATGCATATTCATATTAAACCTTTTATATTCACTGAAAGAGAAAAAGAATTAAGAAGCTCAGGCAAAATTGATTTCCCTTTGACGAGATGATGGCAGACATCAATCTGCGGATCCTTCAACATGCACAATACTTTGCTTCTCATCGTATCATATCTTGTTGTTGTTATTTTTGAACCACCAGCCTCACAGTTAAACCCGACTTTGTGGTTTAGTGCTTTATCCTACAGCACCAGACTACCTCACTGAAGTTTTCAGGTTAGTGTATTTATGAATGATGGTAGTGGTGGGTATGCACCTTAGAGTCAGTTCCAACTCATAGCGACCCTGTATAGTGTTTCCAGGCTATAAATCTTTATGGGGTCAGAAAGCCTCATCTTTCTTTCTTGGAGCAGCTCATGGATTCAAATTGCTGAGCTTGTGGTTAGCAGCCCAAATGCCTAACCCACTAAACTACGATTGTTGTTGTTAAGTGCTGTGAAGTCGATTCCAACCCATAGTGACTCTGTATAGGGTTTCCAAGAAGCAGCTGGTGAGCTTGAACCACTGACATTGCATTTCAAACGATTTTGCAGTCTGATGCATTAGCCTACAGCGCCACACCAGGACTCCACTAAACTACGTAGGATCCCCAAATTTATGAATATATTTGTTGTTAAGTACCGTGGAGTCCAGCCTCATCTTTCTCCCACTGTTAGTGTCAGCTGTTAGTGTCAAACTGCTGACCTTGTGGTTAGCAGCCGGATTAGTAACGATTACGCTCCCAGGGCTCCTGGGGCATATGTGTGTGTGTGTGTGTGTGTGTGTGTGTGTGTGTATGTATGTATATATATATGTTGTTTGTTGTTATGTGCCGTGGAGTCGGTTCCGACTCATAGCGACCCTGTACAGGGTTTCCGAGGCTGTATATCTTTACAGGAGCAGAAAGCCTCATCTTTTTCCCACGGAAATCTCGTAGTTTCGAACTGCTGATCAGAGAGTAGCAGCCCGATTCTTAACCACTATGCTACCAGATATATATCTATATACTTTATTTAATATGCTGTTGTACACATTTCATAGAATATTGTAAATCAGATATATTATTATGTATATTATATGTGAATTTTCAGGAAAATTTACAGTTTGATCCCGACTGAAAAATTTTTTCACATGTAAATATATACAATTAACAAAGTCATTTAAAATAATGTTACTCTTTATGCCCATAGGAAAGTTGCTGATATGAGGTGACTATTTTTAGATACTTTGCAAAATTTGGTGCATCCTGAGCAGTCTTTCAAAACAAAATTAATTCTGACAACAAACATGTCAAGGTCAGCAGTTCGAAACTACCAGCTGTTCCGCGGGAGAAAGATGAGGCTTTCTGCTCACACAACAACAACAACAAACAACATGTCAAGAAATATACCAGAACCCTTATGCATGTGATCTCATTTACTTCTCACAATAGTGTGTTGTGTTAGATCTTACAATATCCTTATAAGAAAACACATTTGTTGTTGTTGTTATGTGCAGTGGAGTCGGTTCCGACTCATAGCGACCCTGTACAGGGTTTCCGAGGCTGTAAATCTTTACGAGAGCAGAAAGCCTCATCTTTCTCCCGAGGATCAGGTGGTAGTTTCGAACTGCTGACCTTGAGGTTCACAGCCCGATTCGTAACCACTACACGACCAGAGCTCCTTATGAAAACACATAAGGAACTTATCTACACAATAAGTGGAAGGCTGAACTCCATTTACAGATCTGTCCAGCACTGCACATTCTTTCCCTATAGTCTTCTCTGACTGAGGCATATGAGCCTTGTTGCTGTTGTTAAGTGCCGTCAACTCGGTTCCGACCCAGAGCAACCCTGAACAGGGTATCCAAGGCTGTAAATCTTTATAGGAGCAGAAAGTCTCATCTTTCTCCCGTGGAGCAACTGGTAGTTTCGAAGTGCTGACCTTGCGGTTCACAGCCCGATTCATAACCACTACGCTACCAGAGCGCCTGTATGAGCCTTAGAAGCCCACTTATACCTGCGTGTCTCTTTCCTGTTTAAATGTCATAGTGTTTCACTTTGAGCTATTTTTAGGGCTACTCTAATTTTTTTTTTTTAAGAGACAAATCAAACAGTACACATATTATACATTTTCAAAAGAGTAAGGCAGAGTTCATGGGAACCAATTAGAATACTGGAAACTATTACAAGCTGAGGGACACATAGAAAATAACTAGCCTGGAAATTAACTGGATCTAGGAATTAGAATGTCATCTGGAAATCTAACAAGTGTTAAGAGTGTACTGGCAATTAATTATACAGATTCACCATACAAGCATGGTTATGATATATCAAAGCAAACCCATCCTATTGCCAGTGACTGAATTCCAACTCATGGTAACTCCGTGTGTTACAGAGTAGAACTGCTCTGGCGGGTTCACTTCGTGCTAATCTTTATGGCCATACTCTGATGGCACTGGGCAGTGGGTCCAAACTACCAACTTTGCAGACAGTAATCAAGCTTAAACTGCTTGTATCATCTAGGGAGATAATGAAAGAAAAGTTAAATAATAATAATAATTACAACTATCTTTCTGTGAGATTTTAATCTTTGGAAAATCACTTAATATATATTAACTATTCCATCTACTAACACTGATATACCTTAATATCTCACTTCACAGGTAGTACAAACTGTAGTTCAAATGTAACAAGCAGGTGGGGCTCTTGGTATGAATATATGTGTAATACTTGGGTGTGTTTGTGTATTTATATATATGTTGTTAGTGCCATTGAGTCAATTATGACTGAAGACCATCCTATGTGGACACAGTGAAACTATGCTTCCGGTTTTCAAGGCTGTGATATTCCAGAAACAGACAGCCAGGCTACTTCCATGGTGCCACTGGTGGGTCTGAACCAACAATCTTTCAGTTAGTAGTCCACTGCATAGCCATTTGTATCACCTATAAATGCACACACATATCTTCTGTTTCCTGACTCTGTATGGACACCATCACACAGCAGGTACCTTGCTTCAGCTGAGATACTCACACTTTGTGGGTAGATCCCTATGTGCTTATATCTTCATGGACAAACTTGCAAAGGACAAAGCAGAGCAGGCCAGCCTAAAACTTATCCAAAGCATTATCCTAAAAAAATGTAGGGCCAGCTAGATTTGGTTTTTCTTCTTACTCAGAATTAAGATCAACAAAAAGGCGCTGTGCTGATGGCAGGTGGGCTATCTGGTTATTTTGCAATTAACAAAGTTTAAAAGGCTCCATCTGAAAAAAATGTGCCAAGGGTCTAAATTACTGGTTTTATACTAATCTGAGTAATCTATTATTCTGTAGTTTATTTTTAGCCAACTCTGTTTTTCAACTGACTTTCTTGTACTTAATGCTTTGTTTTAATGCTGAGACATTTGCATAAACGGTATAAATGAGGTTCATAGTGATTGTGAGAATGATAATAAAAAAATCTCAATAAACATTAAATGGAGAAAAAACCCTGACAAATTAATAATAATTAACACCTCCCTACCAATCTTGTTTTAACATTATTTTAGCTTATACAGTAATTTGTCTAAAGACAGTTTGGAATAATGGAGAGAACTTTGTTAGCAGAAAGCTGTGAGTTCAAATTCAGATAGAATGCTGTTGTTAGTTGTCATCAGATTGATTTTGACTCATCAAGTTGATTTTGACTCAGAGCACCCCTCTGAACAATAGAAGGATCCTGCACCACCCTCACAATTGTTACATTTGACTCTATTGTTTCAGATACTCTACCAGTTCATCTCTTTAAAGGTCTTCCTTTTTTTTGGTTAACCCTCTCTTTTGCTAATCCTCTGTTTTTACTAAGCATGATGTCCTTGTCCGGTGAGTAGTGCTCCTGATAACATGTCCAAAGTACTTGAGTCCAAATCTTGTAATGCTTTCCTGTAAGAACATTCTTCCTAAACAGATTTGTTTGTTCCTCTGGCAGTTTGTGGCATATTCAATATTTCTTTTGCACAAAGAATTTTTGTCAAAGCCATCATTGGTTTCTTTGTCTAACTTATTCATTGTCCATCTTTGACATGCATGTGATGTGATTGAAAATACTGACTTCAGTCAGTCACATTTAGTCTTCAAAGTGAAATCTTGCTTCTTAAGACTTTAAAGAAAGCACATTTCTCCAATGCAGTAAGTCTTTTGATTTCATGACTGCTGTTTTCAGGGGCATTGATTGTGGATCCACGTAAATGAAATACTTGACAACTTCAATATTTTCTCTGCTTAATATGATTATGCTTCTTTGTCCTGTTGTGAGGACTTTTCTTTTTCTTATGTGGAAGTGTAGTTCATACTGAAGGATGTATTCTTTGATCTTCATCAACATTGATTTTTTATTTTTGTTTCTTTAAGCTTTTATTTTGAATTGAGTGAGTTTACATGGGACAACATTGGGTTTGTACTCATCCTATCCTATTTCGTTTCGTTGCAATGCTTACAATCTCCTCCATGCATCATCATTCAACAGTATTTGCTTCTATTCCTTGTTTTTTGTTTTTTGTTCTTGCTGTACAAAATAACACTAAGAATATATAATCATTTAAATAACCAAAGAGCATATTCTTCAGGCCAGCACACAGCCTTTTGCTTCCTGTGAGTCTAGAGTCCTCGGTTGCTCTATCTCTCCATGTCATCATCTCTGTCTCCACTGGTTTTATACTAATATAACAAAATGTGCAAATATGAAAGATTCTCTGGGCAAATTATTGAATGATGCAGAAAGCATCAAAAGAAGATGGAAGATATACACAGAGTCACTGTACCAAAAGGAA